AGCCTGGAGGTTGACGCATGTAGATTTCTTCGTCAAGCTCGCCATTGAGAAAGGCGGTCTTCACGTCCATTTGATCAAGTTCAAGATCAAACTTAGCGACCATGGAGAGTAGTGCACGTACGGTGTCGTATTTTGCAACAGGAGCAAAGGTGTCGGTGTAATCTAGTCCTTCGATCTGTGTGAAACCCTGCGCAACAAGGCGGGCCTTGTGGCGGGCAATCTGGCCATTTTCGTCATACTTGTGCGAGTACACCCACCGTGAGCCGACTGCTTTTCTCCCTGATGGGAGTGGTGTTAAGACACCCACTCCTTTTTCTCCCAACGAAGCTAACTCTTCATTCATTGCGCTTTCCCAATGACCCGAATCCATTGACAAGCGAGCGGCAGCTATCGTTTTGGGGGGAAGCTTCCGTCCATCAATCTTGTTGCTGTCCGCCAAGGATACATGCTTCGCGGAGTGCTCAATGGTGACATCGGGGGTAGCACTAATACTAAGATTTTCTTCTTCAACAACCTCCTCCTCAACAGTGACCGGTACATAAGTCCAACGCCGCTGTACTGGGACATGTTTTGTTGGGATGGCAACAGTTTTCGGGACTGCTGGTCGCGCGTCAATGCGTTGACGTGTCGAACGTCGTGGCTCAGGAGATGGTACCGTTTCTACCGGAACTTCAGCAGGGACAGGGAGAACATTGTCGTTCGACTGCGGGAATGGCTGTGGAGGTTCGGGGATGAGAGGAGCAGAAGTCGGAAGTACTCCCACTGAAACGGTACTGGGTCCTGGTAGTGTAATACCGGAATCATCTTCTCCAGGTCGTGTGGTTCTGAAGCCGTCTTCTGATATCAGCAAATCATGTGGCAATGCGAGGGTGGGCTGCTGCATTGCAATGCGCTGGTTGTGTAATTCAACGAGGGGCGAGAGAACTGAGTTGGGTGTGCCGTAGAAGAATTTTTCATCAAAAAGGACATTTCGAGAGCGCACCGTCTGTCGTGTCGCTGGATCCCATAGAAGATATCCCGCATCTTTGACGTGCCCCAGTAGGAAGCACCGTCTCGAAACAAAGTCGTACTTGTGGCGATTGTCGTCTGGGATGTGAGCATATGCGAGGCAGCCAAACGGACGTAGGTGCGAGACATTTGGTAGTTCACCATAGAAGAGTTCAAACGGCGTTCTGTTGTCAGTAGCTGACGACGGGAGGAAGTTCTTGATGTATACTGAGTTGAGGATGGCGTGGCCCCAGAACGAACGAGGAAAACCACTCTGGTGATGGGCACTTAATGCTCGGGTGGCAATGGTCTGGTGTCCACGTTCGGCAACACCATTCTGTTCGGCTGTATGAGGCATCGTAAGTTCGTGCTCAATTCCTTTACTACGCAGGAATTCAATAGTAGCGTGAGAGACGTATTCGCCACCGTTGTCACTGCGGAGGCGTTTAACTCGTTGCCCTGACTGGTTTTCAATCCAGGCGATATATCGCAGAAGGTGCGAGTGTACCTCACTCTTGTGCTTAATGAGGTAGATAGTGGAATAACGCGAAAAATCATCAGTGAAGGCAACAAAGTATGTTTCGCCGGACGGGGTTGCAGTGTTGACGGGTCCCCAAACGTCAGTGTGAACAAGTTCAGCGACGTGCGTTGCACGGTGTCGAGCATGAGACGGGAACGGCAATCGTTTTTGTTTGCCCATTAGGCACGACGGACAGTCAATGTGGTCACCAGGTCCTGTAGACTCGTCTAACAGGTTAAGTGACAGTCCTAATACAACCTTCTCAGCTTTGCGCAAGGTGGAGTTTGCGGCATGGCCCATGCGTGCATGCCATACAGCTAGTGGTAATGGCGTAGCCGAGGTGGACCTGGTGGCAAAGGCCGTATGGGTGTGCTTGGCTCGAAGGTAGTATAGACCGGCAGAGCATTCCACACGTGCGATCACAGTCTTATCAGCACGACGCATTTGTCCTCCTTCAGCATCCGTTTCGAAGAAAATTCCCTCCGACGCTAGAGCAGACACTGATATCAGTGTGCACCGTAGGTCTGGTACGTGGAGGAAAGGGAGTTCGATAGACTCATGTCTTCCGTCGAGCACTAGCGTGATGAATCCCCAACCTGGGGCAAGAACAGTATCGTCATTCGCAAGTTTCACGATTAATGGAGGGTTGTAAGTTCTGTAGCGAGTGAAGAGGGAGTGATTGGATTCCATATGTGCGGTGGCGGCAGAGTCTACGTGGAATTGAAAAGAAATAGTGCTCGTATTAGAGAAACTAGCAGAGTGTGTAGGAAGACGAAGAAACGATGGAATGCCGTCAGGTTGTCCTGGTAGGGGAACTGATATGTCAGTACCTTGTGAAGGTGAGGGGGGAATGCACGCTGACGTGTTTGATGAGTCGGATTTTGCTAGACGAGCACGGCAGTTGTTCCAGATATGGCCTGTGCGCTTGCAAGATCCGCACGTCGAGCGCCACGACAACTCCCATTTATCTCCCTTGGAGGCGTCAAAATCCTTCGGTTTGGCACGCTCAGTAGGTTTACCTGCTTTCGCCACCCTAGCAGCCATGGCTGTGTGGTGCGCATGTGGGTTTGCAGAGCCGAAACTTGCATAATATTGTTCCGAGTTCCTGATCTGGCTGATGACTCCTTCCAGCGTTAGCTTCCCGGTATTGGCGTCAGCACTATGGAGTATGAGCTGGGAAAGCGGCGCATAGAAGTCGGGAAGGGCACGCAGTAGCGCTTGGACAAGGGTATATTCGTTGCACTTCCATTCGATGGATTCAATGACCTTGAATTGGGCCTTGATGTCCGTGATCTCCTTAATGGTCTTGGTAAGAGAGTCGCTATCAGATGCTTTGGGAAGGTCAAAGATACGGCCCATGAGGCTCGTAAAGCGGATGCCAACAGACGCCTGATACTTGTCTTCTAGCGCTTTCCAGATGACGGCTGGATCAGTGACACCCATGAAGTGGATGAGGTCACTTGAGTGTACCGTCATACCAAGGAGTCCTTTGGTTATGCTTTGGCGTTCTCGGAAAGAAATGACGTCCGCGCTCGCATCATGTGCCGCGAGGCGTTTGTTGAAGTCAGCCTCAGTCTCAGTGGTGCTTCTGGTTGGGCGCGGAGGACCCTTCTCATCTCCTGAAAGGAGGCGCCAAAGGTTGAAGAGCGAGAGCCAAAGGTCCATGGTCGTTACCCACGAGGTGTAGTTGGAGCCATTGGCGTCCAGAGGAGGGTGAGGAAAAGATGTTGGAATCCGGATGTTGGACGACGATATGGTGGACATGACAGGTGTCGAACGATGTGTCGGCGATGGCGACAATAGAATGGGAAGATTCAATGGGTGTGGTAACGAGCGAGTTGGTACGACAGGCGTTAATGGCGGCGATGGCGGCAAGGGAATGGATAAGATCCGCAGGTCAAGCGGGGATAGAGGGCGACCTTGTTCCAGTTCGGAAAAGGTCGGAGAGGCTCAGATAAGGCGAGTGGAAGCGAGAAACGAATGTATGCCTAGTCTGAGCCAGGGCTCATAACCTATCAAAGGTGAAGAGACTCGGACTAGAGAAACTAAGGGCGAGAACAGAACTCAGTCTTGGTTCAAAAAGACTCAAGGGTAACTATGGACCATACCTAAGGGCGAGAACAGAACTAGTAGAGTAGTAGTTAGTAAGAGTAGAGTAGGGATGTCAATAAGATAGCTCACCTCAGTCTTGGTTCAAAAAGACTGAGGGAGATTGTTCGACGAGAGGAGGAATTAATACGTTTGATTGGGACGGAGAGTCAATAGGAAACGTGTATGACGCATGGTAGGAGGAGTGTTCGTGTATGTAAAATGAAAAGGCTAAGTACGTGTAAGGGTCATATCTTGATATGGAGATCTGTATATTGACGGTATGCAGCCTCTCATTGCGTGCAACAAATGAAATTGGCGAGGACGGCTGGCAATTTTACCTTTACGGCCGCTGAGAGCGAAGAGCTTGTCTTTGAGACCATCGCGTTGTTGATACTAACAGAGATTACATTCAAGAAGGTGGTCTGAATGAGCGACTTCCGGTACCTTTTGTGTTCCTGTCTGTGTTGATGCACGTTCATCGATTTGTCGTCAAATCCTGACTGTGATCTGATCAGTACATCAATTGTATGTCTCTCACACATGTGCAATACAGTCTACTGATATACCCATGGCCAGATGGGTAGCGGGTCTAACTAAAATACAGCTTGAAGTCTACCCTGCCTCTCATAATGACCACGTTCGAGTCGTTAAGCTTTTCGTCAGACTCCGTGCTCCGTGGAGCAGGATTTCTGGGGTCGCCGTGTTCTGGTTGGGGTGTGTGGTCCGTGATGCGGTCATAGATTATTGTCACTGAAATGAATCGAATATTCAATAGAGACAACTGTCAAGAGGAACCAAAATACTGCGGCTCGTCCTTTATACTCATGTGAGCCCACATCATAGTTTTCGGCCAGAAACACGCTCTGAACCTAAGAGGTCAAGATAAGCCGTGAGGGCGAGAGGTCCACAGCGCCTCGCACTTGACATAATGACGGAGTCTGTGAGTTGGAGAGCGATACGTCGATCAAAGATGATGCTAATGTTGTGAAATATATTCTTGAGTCCAAAATTCTGACGTTTGACACTGTTTTGATTGATTGCGAGACGTATGCTTCTGAGGGTGTGGTGGGCGGAAACTAAAGAACGAGTACTATGACTTATGAGACGTCGAGTAGTTTGGGAGTAGTAGTACAAAGCAAAGAAGAGATGTCCCAAAAAAGACGTCTGCCGCATAGAGGACATTCTATGTTCGTTCTTCGTTCCTCGGACTCATTGGAACACAACTCTTGCGACAACTCTTGCGACAAATAACTACCAGGTGACTTCTGCGACAATTGCTGTGATATCTTCTTGAAATTGTAAGCGTTGTGCTACATGAGCGTCTCTATTGTACACATATGACGGGGATTGTATGAAGCACACTAACTAACTAATTGTATATTTTGAATGAATTTATGGAAAATCAACGACTGAGAAAAGCGATAATTCTTTCCACCGACGGACGCATCATGGGGTCCATCGACCAGCATTCCTGAATGAAATCCCAATAGGTATCGATGCACGATGGGTATTGAAACCGGCTGGGTATCTCCGCGTTGTACTTCATGAGTATGATCGGATACTCTGGTAGATAATAGAACGGCACGTTTCCTGTGATGACCTGTGGTGGTAATAGTCGGTGCGGTGCCTTGTAATTAGCGACAACTTACTTGCAACATGACACACCCAAAAGAGTATATGTCGCTGCGTTTGGTGGGGCGCACTTCAGTTCCTCGTAGAAGTTCGGGGGCCATCCACCGGAGGTTGCCTTTCATCCTCGAAGTCCAGGATACATAAGGGGCATCCACGAATGAAAGTCCAAAGTCAGCTATGCATGCGGAACCGTCGCTGCCAACAAGTACGTTGTTCTATAATAATAAAGAGTGCATAAGTTTCGGATAATGAAATGCATTGGACTTACCCCGGTGAGGTCTCCGTGAACGATGTTGTTGGTGTGTACTGTACACATATATTGTACGGCGCGGATGAGGAAAAAAATTACGAAGACTTACAGTATTGTAAACCAGACGCGACGTCCCTGAGCTAAAACAACGTTAGAGAATCCTGACATCAGATCACAGGACGTACTATTATAAATCGATGTACTGTGGTGAGCGATAATCCTTCACGGGCCAAAAATACGGAGAGGTTGCCCTGTTCAACCCATGGGGTGACTATGGCAGGAAGGGGACCGAAACCCATGGAGTAGCCGTGAACACGGAGAATGTTTGGGTGTCTGAGCCCAGCACCTGTCCCGAGTTCGCGGCGTATACGCTACATCCCAACAGGAGTGAATTAATGGTGAAATATTTGCCAGAAATTTACCTAGTTACCTTGATATTTCTGGCATTGGCAGCGAGGTCGTCATTGCCACTGTACATTTGAAACGCTTTTACTGCAACCTACAGAATTATGATTGGATGGCTGTATAAAACGTTAATTGGGGATTGACCTTGACGGGTCCCTTGTTTGTTCGGAAAATACACTTCCAGACCTCCCCAAAACCGCCGCGTGCAACGGGGTATTCGGCGGTCTTTGTGATGTGAGGCGTGAGGTCGTCGAGTGCCGCCTGAATTGATGCTACAGCAAGTCGCAACATGATCAATTCAAGTACTCACATTCCATTCGGGCAGATTAACCTCCATGGAGCAATCCGTCGAGTATTGATCGACATCCATTATGACGTCGTCCATCTGGTTACTCGCTCGAGGGTAACCGTAAAATAATGGCTATTCGGTGAGAAGATGTAAAATACTACTACTGTAGTGTTTCTGTGCAGATGATAGTCGCAGCTAGTGAGATGAGAATCAGACATTCATACGACACTTACACAATCAGACAAGACTGATAAATCTAGCAAATCCAGGTTAGGGTTAAGGGTGACACTACACGTATTTGTCGCACTGATTCCAATTTGCGTGTCGAGGGACTCGATGTCAGTGATATTTGACAAGGTGGGTGAGGGGGGTGCGAGGTCATAGGGATGGACGAGTGGGGAATCCTTCATAACCTATACTCATTAGTGTTAAATTGTATTCGACTCGTGCAGTGAGAGATGATATTACAAAATCCAGGTTAGGGTTGAGGGTGACACTATACGTATTTTTCGCACTGATTCTAATTTGCGTGTCTATGTATTTTTCAAAAATGTAGGTACCGCATGGAAAAAATCTTGTTCACAAGCTCAATTTCAACTCCCACTCCAGGTATCTAAAAATATGGTTGGTTGGTTGGTTTATTTGTCACAAGTGAGACGTCTGGACCATGAAGCTGAGAGATTTGTTAGAGTAAGATCATTGCCAGTACAGCAACATCGACGATAACCCTAACCCTAATTTAGGGGCAGGACAATGGACATTGCAGGTGAACTATTAGTAGATGGAGCTGCTGCCTTGGAGGAGGAGAGTATGAATTGCGAAACCTAGGTTTTGACAGGTGAATATGACGCAGAATACGATGAGAGTAAACAGAATTTCTTGTGTCATCGGACACCGACGCTGTAGTTAATGCTGGAGAAGGCGGAAATGCCTGCCTTGACATAGAAAAGGTCGCGGGCCCTATTAATCATAAACGGTTCAGTGAGATGTGTTTGTTACGAGGACGACATGGGGTCGTTGTCAAGAAATATGGTAGTGAATGAGCGTTGGACAAGGGATGAGGTCTAATTTGAATCACGAACGGGAGAGTCATAAAGCTGTAGTTTTGACGGCAGCATCGTGGAAGTTAGTGAAACGCAAGCATGTACTTTTATATGTAGCGTGACCTATGGAAGACGTGAGAAAGAGAATGGCACCATCAAAGGATAAAGGTACGGTTCCATTGCCAAGGTGATACAATTCCTTACGGATTGCAAAAGTCGACCCTAGATGTGCACAAGGATGCAAGTCAAACGCAAGCGTTCGATGGAAACATCGCAAGAGTAGACCCTAGAATTCTCCTACAGGATGACTAGCTAAATGTCCATAAGAATGTCAGTCAAACACTAACGTTCGGATAGAACTTCCGAGAACATCGAACGCTTGCGTTCGATGAAGAGAATGCAAGAGTCAACCCTATAAGTCCTATAGGATGAGGAGTCGAACACTAGCGTCGGATAGAACTGTCGAAAACATCAAACGCAAGCGTTCGATGGAGAGATTGCAAGAGTCGACCCTGTAAGTCCTATAGGATGACTAGATAGATTATTAGCTAGAGGTCCCACAAGGATGGAGAGTCGAACACTAGCATTCGGGCGGAACTTCCGAAAACATCAAACGCAAGCGTTCGATGAAGAGATTGCAAGGGCCGACACTGGAAGTTCAATAGGATGATTAGCTAGAGGTCCACGTGGGTGGGGAGTCGAACCCTATCATCGGGATAAACCTGTCGAAAACATCAAACGCAAGCGTTCGATGAAGATATTGCAAGATGACTAGCTGGATCACTAGCTGGAGGTCCGCAAGCATGAGGAGTCGGGCACCACCATTCGGATAGAATTGTCGAAAACATCACACGCAAGCGTTCGATGGAAGCATTGAAAAAGTCGACCCTGGAGGTCCTACAGGATGACTAGCTAGATTACTAGCTAGAGGTCCATAAGGATGGGGAGTCTGACACTGACATTAGAATATAACTGTCGAAAACATCAAACGCAAGCGTTCGATGGAAGCATTGAAAAAGTCGACCCTAGAGGTCCTACAGGATGACTAGCTAGATCACTAGCTAGAGGTCCATAAGGATGTGGAGTCTAACACTAGCATTATAATACAACTGTCGAAAACATCAAACGCAAGCGTTCGATGAAGAGATTGCAGGAGTCGACCCTAGAAGTCCTATAGGATGACTAGCTAGATTACTAGCTAGAGCTCCACAAGGATGGGGAGTCTAACACTAGCATTAGAAGAAACTGTTGAAAACATCAAACGCAAGCGTTCGATGGAAGCATTGAAAAAGTCGACCCTGGAGGTCCTACAGGATGACTAGCTAGATTACTAGCTAGAGGTCCACAAGGATGTGGAGTCTAACACTGGCATTAGAATATAACTGTCGAAAACATCAAACGCAAGCGTTCGATGGAGAGATTGTAAGGGTCGCCTCTGGAAGTTCAATAGGATGGCCAGCTAGATTACTAGCTGGAGGCCCACATGGATGTGTCGAAAACATCAACCGCAAGCGTTCGATGTAGATATTGCGAGAGTCGACCCTAGAAGTTCTACAGGATGACCAGCTAGATTACTAGCTAGAGGTCCACAAGGATGGGGAGTCGAAAACATCAAACGCAAGCGTTCGATAAGATAGCCGGATGGATGTGCCAATCAAACGCCAGCGTTCGATGGAGGCATTACAAGCTTTGACCTTAAAAGTCCGATAGCGTGACTAGCTAGATTATCAGCTAGATGCACATAAAAATGGGAATCAAACACTGACATTCTGATAGCAAGGCACGCCTCCGATGAGTGGATCGCAAGAGTCGACCCTCGAAGCTCAATCGCATGACTACCTATATGTCCACAAGGATTTCGGAAGTCAGACGCTAGCGTTCGACGGGATGACTAGCTCGAAATTACGAGATAGATGTCCAAGAATGCTGAGATTGTGAGGAAGCTTGAATGTCCAAGGGTATGCAAGTCAAACACGAGCGTTCGACGATTACATAAAATATTTGGATGACTCGAACCACATGAGAGCTGATGACTAGATTTGGAAATTTCTAGAAGGTCGTTTGCATAAGCCACCGCCTGCTGCCAGTGAGCCTAGCTAATATCATAGTTTCAATTGATGCAGTTGTGCCATGGGCCAGCAACTCATCTATATTCTACATAGAGTGAATGCGCATGATGATAACATGTATCAGTTAACACTGCTATACAGCGAGTTTGTAAATCTAATATTAGTACCAGCGAAAATGGATTGTTTGGAGAAGGGTTTCAAAAGTCACAGAATGATCGTAATGTATGACATATTCTATTCTACATATTGTAAGGGCGGAACGATTTCCAATATCCTGTGACTTCCACGTGCGCGCGCCACTTGAGCTCCACAGGTGCTGGCAAGTCAAACGATGGAAAGTGGGGATTCAACGCTCGCATGTCATGGCTTAATTACCATAGAATGCCCATAGGTGTACATAGTATTGTAAACGTAAGGGAATTTTAAAGGGCTATATAAACATCAACAAGCCAGAGGTGTGTCGACAAGGTTGTGCAGGAGGTTTGCTATAATCAAAGTTCACGTTACACC